ACTTGGTAGCAGAGATTAAATTAAAGGTTAAACCATGGTCAGAGCATGAAAACCGCAGAAATAAATTCTGAACAAATTAAGATTTCGTTTCAGAAAAATTACACTGAATTATAGTCTCAAATCAAGGTGAAGTTATTATTTCGCCATAATATCGGTGCTTAGATTAATTTTCAAATCAGTTTTGCAAGTTGCAAGCCTTCAGTTATATTAACACTCACCCTGCTTTTCCGGTTCATTTATTTTCTCACTTTCGCATTCAGGCTCCGTCTCCGTCTGCTTCTCTGACTGTGTTCGTGGAGATCCCAATTTACTGTACAAATAACCAACTGTCTGAACACCATAGCTGCCTACTTCTTTTACATAATTCATCGCAGGTTTTACCGGTGACGTTATGACATTTGTGAGCTGAAATGATTATAGAGAAGAAAAAAAATTAGATGGTATCCTCGGATAGAAGATGGGCTGGTATTTTAGAAAAATCTATAAATAACAAATTATTTAATCAGTAGATAACTGGGATGATGAGATTTGGATCTTGAATGCTCAGTATTTGAACTTCCTGTTTTTTGAAATGAGAAGTTCAAAGAATTTTTGAATACCTGAATTTGTGCATCAGCTCTTTTTACAAAAATAATTAAGCTATAATGTGGATAAACTGAAAATAAAATTATGAGCTTACCTTTTGAGGAGCTTCTCTTGCTTTTTCTATTTGATTTCCTACAATATCTATGGTACTGCAAACAACGGAATCAGCTAATTTGATAGGTTTTTCCAAAGTCATGGCAACCGGTTCGGCTAATTGCGCAGCTTTCTGAACAGAGTGTTCAGCTAACTCAAAAATTACTTTGGAAGCAGCTGTCGATTCCTGAAATGAATTTTATTAATGATTTAGTCATTTGATGGAAAATTTTGGGAAAAATTTTATTTCAAATCACTTGATAAATAAAATTTAATGTTGAATCAATAGATCTTCAAATTAAGGGCAATCTTTCAGTGGTCATATTTTAATTTGAATAAAGGAGAGGATTTTCTTTGATCTTTCCTTTCAAAAATTGTGAATACTTCTAAACAACTGTAAATAAGATATTTTTATTTAGCAAAGATCAATATTCTATTGCTGCGTGTCTATATGTCTTACTTTTACTCTTCCATAGATTCCTTGAGTGAGATTAATTGTTGAGCTGATTACTGGTAAGCCAGAGATTTTCTCAAGCGAATGTAAATGGAGGCTGGACCGTTCAAGAGTAGGCGAAGTTGCTGCTGGCATTTTCACTTTATTTATTTTGGTCACCTGTAAAAAATTTAATTTCACACGTTGAGGATAAAGCAAATCGTATGCAGGTGTTTTTCTAATTTATAAAATCATGAAATAGAAAAAAATTGTGGTGCAAAGGTGTCTCATAGAAGTGAAGCAAAACCTTAAATTTAATTCACGTTTGTGGATGTTGGGCCAACCAATTCTCATTGAACTCAAAGTGCTGTTGACTGCACTTAGGATTGTTGGGGAAAAATGAACCTCTCAGTTCTTACATACGTAATAAGTGTAGTCAGTCATGTGTGTTCTGTATTTTATAGACAGACAGTATTAAATCCACCTATCTCTTCCAAGAAATTTTCATATTTCGAGTGGTCCTCATGATTTCTACACAATCGATGAAGATGTTTTCCTAATTTACCTCAATTATTCAGATATTTCAATAATTTTCTTTTTTAAACAAATTTTTCCTCGTTTTTGTGCGAAGTGATTATAATGGAACATTTCCACAATGAATTTCTAATGATTAATGAGAAATTGACGAAGTTCTAATAATTTGCATAAATCTGGTCGTGTTTTACACACGAAAATATGTTTTATAGCTGAGCAAAGAGAATTGAAAAATGAAATGATTTATTGATGAAGTCGATCAATATGACTCACAATTCCTGTCTGAAAGTTGAAAAACTAGCAATAAAACAAAGCAATGACTTGAATAATTGTACAATTAAATCTGCAGAGAGTCGAGTAATTTTGTTTCAATTGTTGAAATCTGGTATATCAACTTGTTGGTGGGAGGAAAAATGAAATCATCAAATGAACTTGGTGCTTATTGGGTTGATCAGAAGTTAATCAGAAGTGTTTCTGAGTTATGATATGAAATAGACTTGCTCTATATTTTCTCTGGGGTTTCAGCTTCAAATCAGAATTTTAAAAATTAATTGGAAGTTTCTCTGAGATCTGAAATAGACCTGCTCCTTATTCTTCCTGAAGTTTTCATCTCGAAATCCAATTTTTAGAATTTTTTCAGAATATTTAATAGTCGATTTGACTCATCACTTGATTTTATGCTAATAAAGTTCATTAGAACT